ATACTCCATCTTGTTGATAACAAAAGAAAAGAAGTAACTCATATTTTTATTGGTGATAAAATGGGAGAAGTAGCTATTCATACTTAGATTATATTGAACAAGGAAATTTATGATACTTTTATAACTTTTTATTAATAGTGACTCATGCTTAACTTTTGTTAATTATTTTTTGAAACTTGATTGAATATTTGGGCTTATAATGATAATATCAATATCGAACTTATCACAACTTGAATTCAAGAGTATCATTAAAAAATATTATTTTAAATTCAAGTTCATCATATTTTTAAGATGATATATAGATAAGAGAAGTCTTATTAAGAACCATCATCAATTGACCTCTCGATGTCCATAACTTAAACTTATCTTCGATGACATAATATTGAGATTTTTCATATGTAATGATATTAAAATAATTTTTATTTTTACATAATTAAAACATTGATATGAAGGGGGATAAGTAGTGTCATGATATTATGATATCACTTTATTCTTTTTGCCAGTGACAAAGGGAGAAAAATAGTAACTCATGTTTTTTTGTTAACAAAAGGAGAGAAGTATATTTTTTGTTAATCAAGTGGAAGAAGCAATGACTCATGCATGAACAAGAAGAATCATCGTGACATTCTTATGTTTTTTGTTATGCAAATAGTTAATTTATAGTTATATTTTAATTAATATTATACATTGGTAATTATTAAAGTTTGAAACTTAAAATGATTATAACTCAGAAATTTGAAACTTAGACTGAACATTTATTTCTGGGCTTAAATGATTGACTCATAATATCGACAAAATCAAATTTCTTTTAATTTGAATTCAGTATGCGCATTTAAAATGATGTATGATCATTTGAATTCAAGTTTATCATAATCTTTCAAAATGATATAGATAGGGGGAGCCTAGTTAAAACTTCATCATTAATTAGTTATTATTGTAAAAAAGGAGATTGTTGAATCTCATATTTTTATAATGAGATCAATTGATGAGTTTACAAACTAATATACTTTTAAGATAAGTGACGTAGGAAATACTTTGATTACAGACTCAAACTATCAAAGGGCAAATTATTGAAGTAGGAGAATCGAGTGTTGTGTCGAGAAAAGTATCATGTCAAAAATTAGACGTTGAGTTGGAAGATTGATCGACGAGCTAACAATTAGACTTCGTGCTATAAGTTCGGGCATCGTGTTGGAATGATTGGGTATTATGCCAAAAGATCGAATATCATGAGAAAGTCGAATACCAACAGATCGAACGATATACTGAATGAAAGGATGATGTGCCAAAGTTTTGAACGAAATGTCGAAAGATTAGATGACATACTGAAATGGCGTACAACATGCTGAAAACTTTGTAATTATGTTAGATATATGGTTGGAGTGTTAAAATCTTAATGGTATTTTTTAGTCAATTGAGTTGGTTTTGGATCGAAACTATTCTAACTTATCAAGGAACTTATTGGGCTTGAACCAGGGCTGAATTGGGTCTGTTAGAAGGCCAAATCGATAACTTAAAGTAGACCTGGGCAGTGGTAATGCTAGGCTCAAGTAGTAGTACTGCCTAAGTCATCTGAAAAGTATTGTTTGTGTTATTTTTACAGTTCCGACGATAGTATTGCCCAAGCCAATAGTAGTACCTTCGGAACCAAGTTTTGTGGCCCTGTTATAGTGGTAGTACTATCTGGTGCCAACGGAAGTACCATAAATACCTCAAAATTTCATAGATTTAAATTTTTAGCTCCATTCTTTAAGTCTTTTTTAGACCTACAAATATCCCACTCAGGCTTAATTGATGGAGCAACTATTTCTAAGCACAAAAGTATTATAAACTCTCTTTTTTAGTATTGTTTAAGTCTTATTCTCCTTAAGTTTAGAGGTGATTCTAAATTATAATAAGTGAGAGATCTTGCATGGAGGTTCTCTCCTAAGCCTGTTAAAAAAAGAAAAGTTGTAATAAGGGTAGTTAATTTTTGCTTGTTGGAAAGAAGATCGGTAGTGAAAGTCGATGACCTCGAGGAAAGAGGAATCAGGAGTGGACATAGGTCAAGAAGATCGAATCATTAAAAATCAATTTGTATTCCTTCTCTTGCTTTTGAGTTATTGCTTACTTATTTATTTTACTCACAATCCTTACTCATATTTTTTATATGGATTTATCAATCAAACTTTAAAATCAGTTAAAATTGCTATAGTACTAATTCACACCTCTCTCTCTCTCCCTTGATAAGAATAAAGGGGTCAGATTTGTGACCTGTTAGACTTTATTATCGAATATTCATGTATAATTTTCTTAAAACTCTTCTTCTTCCTAACGCACGGCTAGGAGAGAAGTGGTAGATTTTCTTGGGAGCCTATAGTTGATGAAATTGAGCTCGAACTTCCTAACTAACTGTCCAAAGGATGAGATTTACTTCAAGAGAAATCTGACAAACCACTCGCATGCTGCTCCTCTTAAGGTTATCGAGAAAGTCCAACACATAAGGGAGTCCAGAGTGCTATAAAAGGTCATTTGTGAAGTGAATATAGTTAGATTTTCTAAAGGATTAATCTTTCCTTCGTAGACCTCTAGCATAAGAAGTCTAAATCTATGAGGATTTGGCTCTTTATTTATATCTTTCGTAAAAAGAGATCAAGGATATGAATATATTTCTGGCTACTTCTCTTGTTTTATTTTTTTATGAATGTCTATTGATTGCTAGTATATTTTATGTAAGTGGTCTCGTATCTCCATCGAAAGCTCGGTCAACTAGCCGATTAACTCATTCACGAATTCTAATTCTAACAATGGGAATAGGTTTGAGTTATCGGTGGCCGAGATGACTTAGGATGTGCTTGGGTCTACACCAGACTCAACTATAGAACAAGTACGGATGGTGGAGTAGAGGGGGCATAAACATAGGTGGAGTTTGATGAGCTAATTGGGTAAGTTAAGGTATGGAGTGATGGCTTGAGTTATCCTTGTTAGAACTTACATTAGCTAAAGGAGAGTATGAAAGATTTCTATAGGAATGATCATGATTACTATAGGAGATGGTTGGGTGAAGGTTAGATCTTGAAAAAGTCATAAAAAAAGGCTGGGGCCGGGAACAAATGAAATGTTTTGTTCCATCGACACTCCTATCAAACCCTAATTTAGGATTATCGAAACCATAGGATTTAGACCGGAAACATTCGAGATTGTCATGGATCGTACTATGGAGGTTTGAGGGGTTTAGATCTTGAGAAAGTTATAAAAAAGGTTAGGGGTTGGGAATAGGCGGAAGGATTTATTCAATCAATACCCTCATTGGACCCTAATTTAGAATCACCGAAATCATAAAATTTAGACAGGGACCATTTGGGACTATCAGGGTCGGTCCATGAAGGTTTGAGGGGTTCAAATCTTTAGGGTTCAACAGAAGTGGTCCTATGAGATTTCCTTGAGATATAATAGTCGACCCTCCTTTTAGTACTAAATCTGTTACAGTTGATTTTATATTGTTCAAGCTGGGAACCTACTTAGATTTAACCTAGTTCTTTTTCAAGTTGATCTCAAAAATATTTACTAAATGGACATTCAATCCCTACAAAACTAATTCACGAGGGAAATCCGACAACACCCCTCCGATGCTCAAGTCAGTATTCAAGTCGAGCAAGCCAACCTAGTTAGACAAGTGGAGTTTATTATTTGTTGTGTGTGTTGAGTGTACCTACATGACTCCTTATAGTGAAATCCTAGAATATAGTAATTACACTCATCACTCATACTGAAATTATAAATTAGCCCTTAACGACGGTCAGGTTTTGAAGTAAATGTAAGATTATTTTCACCAAAGATGGGCTCACAAGCAATAGGCTCGGTCATTTTCATCCCTATTAATAGTTGAAGAATATTTTCAGATATTCCATCGATTTATATTATCAAATATATCTTTCATCCTATTGCTTGTCTTTCCATCTGGCTATACCAATTCGGATAGGCCAAGTAGAGAATAAGTATTTTCAGATAAATTATTTATTATTATTATTTTTAATAAAATTATGATAGATTTTGATTATTCGATATATTGCATATTCCAAACCAACTAAAATTTAGTCAAAAAATTCATGTCAAGAAATAGCTGAGTTTAGTCGAGTTTACGTTGAGACCGCTAAGGATCTGAAAGAGTTCATTAAAAGTTAGTGTTTGATCAATATATCAAGTTGATAAATAAGATATCCGAATGAGTGTTATACCGGCGATGGCATGGTATTTATTCGTCCATATGTCGTATTAGTTATTATATTTGTAAGTGATGCAGGAGGACTTTTACTTCCCCTAAATAGTGTCACTTGACACGCAACTCAACCAGAAGCCGGGCAATTAAACAGTAACACTATCCATGTTGGCTTCTCATCGCAGTAATAGTTGAAAGACTCGTATGCAACAAAGGCTGATCTCACTGTCCCAGTACCGGGACCATTCCTTTTTGTTTCCCGGTTTTAATCTCTCGGGACCATTACCATTTCATCTTCCCACATTTGCTTTTGTTTTTAAAAACATTTACTATCTTATAATTGTTGTTTTCTTTGAATATAATTTCTTTTTTAAAAAAATAAATTTTATTCATTACATAAATACTCATATTCTCTCGGGACCTATGCTATTTCATTTAGCCACATTTATTTTTATTTTAAGGACCATTACTATTTTATCTAGCTATATTTGTTTTTGTTTTGAAAAATATTTACTATCTTACTGTTGTTGTTTTCTATGAATATATGTCTTCATATATGAAAACTATCGACTGTATAACAGTACACTAAACACTATGATGTCTCAACACAGACATAAATACTATTTAGCTCATAATTAGATCGGAATAAACGGATTAAAATGGACTTCTTTTGATAAAGAGTACGAATTTATTAGTGCAGCAAACACTGGAGAGAGTTGTCGAGTTGCATTGTTTATGCGCTTCCTGATTCTTATATATAGCCCACCCTATTGGATCGCTAGCCCTCCGCCTATACATTTCAATTCTCGTCTTTCCGTCCTATCATCTGCTGCAGATCACTGTCCCATCACTTCTTTGTTTCTTGTCATCCATCGATCCGTCATGGAACAAATGGACGTCGACCTCTTGAACTCTTCTCCGGAGTTCCAGGTTGAACTGATGAACATGATGCTACAGTTGCAGAAACTTGCGGAATCATCTGAGGCCCTTCCACCCAATGATCACCTCTCCGCTGCTCCACCGCGGACGTTCCGTGCTTCTCCCACCGCTCCGGCCTTCCACCACTCCGCCCGTGGCCCAGCCATGGCGCCGCCGTCGAACAACCTCGCTGATGCGGAGGCATCGCTGCTGAGCGGCCCGTCCCTCGCGCACAGTGCTCCGACCTCGACGGCGGGGATGAGGGACATGATGTTCGGCATCGCCGCGATGCAGCCGGTGCACGTGGATCCGGAGTCCGTCAGGCCGCCGAAGCGCCGGAACGTGAGGATTTCCAAGGAACCCCAGAGCGTGGCGGCGAGGCTCCGGCGGGGGCGGATCAGCGAGCGCATGCGGGTGCTGCAGCACATGGTGCCCGGCGGGACCAAGATGGACACGGCGTCGATGCTCGACGAGGCCATCCACTACGTCAAGTTCCTGAAGACGCAGGTGCAGTCTCTGGAGCTGGCAGCGGTGAGCCAGGGCATGGGTCGGCCGCCGCCTCCGGCTGCAGGATTCACGTCGTCCGACGGCAGCTACTCGTGCTTCCATACCATGTATCAGCTGCAGGATCAAGGGTTCGTGAACTTTGCCGATGTGTAACGAGTCAGTCGAGTCGCTAGTGATGAGTTCTGCGAAGTGGTGTCGTTGATGAAGAAGAGTCCATGCGCCGGACTCTTCCACCCTTCCTCTGCGTGTTACATCGTGTATGTCCACTTGTGTGTGCAGTGATACCCACACCATGTTTTGTCTCTGTATGCTGTCAATAGAATTCTGGGAGTTCTCTCTCGATCTAATTCCATCGGTGAGTAAAAGAGTTACTTGGTCCACCATGAAGGTGACGGAATCGAGACAAGATACTACTCAATGCATGCATGCATGCATGCATGGCTACTGCTGCGAAGCGAAGTCACAGAATATCCGATCCAGATCTGCTCCGTTATCTTTCAAATCACACATGAAGATTCGTGCAGTACTATGATTGGTAGAATTGCATGGCCATGTGAATGGGTGACGTACGTCCTTGCCTGCCTGCCCGACCATGTGAGGCAGGTAAGAAGGTAGGCTAGGAGGAAATTTACAGTTATAATCGATACGATAGATTCGGGTTTTCCTCGAGGCGGTAGGTCGTTATAGTACTTTGGCAACTGAGTAGCTTAATGGTGATGCGACGGTTGGAGAACCGCCGATGTGGTCGGCCTGTCGGTAGCCGCGGCCTTTAAGTCGGGTGGACCCCACGTGGATGTCGCGAAGACGACCTCGGTCAACGACGACTCGGCGTACAGAACAGGCCGGGTGGGACAGGGTCAAACAGGATCTTTCTCATGGATGTGGTCAACATAATAAGGACGACCACATTTCCCAGATGGTGAGGCTCTTCACTAACTTCCAAATCCTCACTGCGCCGAAGCCCCTTACCTACTGGTGCATAACGTAATTGGTGTTGCGTCCACATTGCGTACATGAACCTAGTTTTGTACTCACCATGGAATATATGAGCCCGGAAACAGCAGCAGCCAATTCTCAAAGTAACTCTCTCGCCATGAAGACATTACATTACAAGTCTGAGATCTACTTCGGATTCTGCTGCTGCATGGCAGTGCGTCCCCCCTAGCCAAAACGACAAAAGGATCAAAGGATGAACAATAGCTCAGGCCAAAAGTTCATAGTTCATCCAATGGCCCCACCCGCCTCTGGGGAATTCCGGCCAATTACTCCAGCCGCATTCAATCCTCGGCCACCCCACGCACTCGTACTGCAGATAACAGCCATCAAAATGGACCTTCCTTCCCCACACCAACCTCGCTGGGAAACGTCGAGGAGAATGCACCGCACCTCGTTGAGATTGGATTGGTCTCGCCACAGTGATGACGCCGTACGCCGTCAGTCCATGGCGTGTGGGATGTTGGGCGGTCAGTGCTTGGCTCACATGGGTCGGTCGCCCCGGCGTGCAGAATTCCTCGTCTTGGTTCTGTAATATCCGAGGGCGCGGGCACAGGATGGATTCTAGTCGACATTGTTGTCATTCCTTCATGTGATTTTGGGACCCGTCACTTGTCCTTCTGACCGTGTTGCTTATTAGTAGATTGCGCTCTCTCTCTCTCTCGCTCTAAGCAGCAATGCTCTTATTGATAGTGATGCTTTGAATGAACTACAGTAGAAATGGGGTAAAGAAGGGGTATCTGTTGTAGCAAATACAATGAACATTATTTCAAATTAATTCCTCTTCACAAGTGCAGCCGAGCTGTAGTTTATGCAGACTATACCATACAGCTGCATCAAAACAATTTCAATTGGAAACAAAAAGATGATAGATAATTGATTATAAATGTCACAATATCCCATTTGGACCAGAAGCACTGATGACAAAACAGAATACAATCTTAAGTGGAAGCAGCACATATCATCATTTAAGAGGATAGCAGTATAGAGCAGGTCACCACATGAAGGATGAATCTGAATGTTTTGGACAAGTCCCTCGTATCATCATTCGAGGTAGCAGCTGAACCAAAATGAATCTTCACATAAAATGCCAATTCAGCAAGCTTATTGAGCCCCTTGTTCTTTCTGTTAAAGAACCTATTAGTCCTCATTCCACCAGTGCACAATCATTCTATGCTGTGAAGTTGCTATAAAGAAGGTTTAAACTGCATAAACCTGACTTCTAATTCACCAAAACATGAAGTAGAGTCTCCAGCATATATGTAATTGATAAATTTGATTAACATAGTGTGTCGCCAATGCAATGTCTCCAAACCTAGTGGCAAAATTGTCTTCTCAGCAAGAGACCTATCTGGCAGACCATATTTCTCAACTGACATTGGACTTCTCCAAGCAATGCCTTCATGCAGTCCCATCCATAGGGCAAACAGGAAAAATTGTGAAGAATGCTCGCAGATATCCAGTATTCAACTTGATGTTTAGTGTATTTTATAAAGAAAGCTCCTCATGCTTTGCTTTTCCAAGCTTCGTTATGATAGAAGACCATTATTTGCAATTTGTGCAAGAACTGGACCTTATTTGTTCTCATAAGCACATTACCTCTGAGCAGCTTAAAATGACAATACCTTTGAAACTACTGGATATATAGAAGATTCTGACATATTATACAGCACAGAAATATGCCACTAAGGCTTCCATCTCCATTTCCACATCTTCGGCAAACATTATCATCAATCACTTACCTGCAACAAAGGAAGAAACTTGTTAACAAGACATTGAATTAAGAAAAGGAGAATTTCACAGGATAATATATGATAAGATATAATCATTTAGTATTACAAGAAAGGATAAAATTTGTAAGTTTTCATATCAGCGCTAATTGTTGCACTATAAGACAAGATCTTGAACAGATGATAGCGATTCTGTGGGTCTGCAAGTTGAACTTATGATTTAAATGCTCGACCGTTACAGATTACAATTATAGATTGCTGGGGAGTGAACTTGAGGGAGAAACAGAAAAAAAGAAGTGAAAAAAATTCCACTGTTCTCTATCACCAAGTAAATGTGTTATCAGCAGCTTTAGCAAATGACAATGGAAGAAATGCTCAAATTGTTCCCATTGTTCAAGTTGTTGAGATAGTCAAGACTGAAAAGCTTTTCATCTTGAGGTCCATGGATTACTCTGTATTATTAACTGCTTTTGTAGTATTATTCAGGTTTTCGTGGGTGCCATATGTCATCAATTAGTTCCATGAATAAACAAAATCACATTTGTCCACCTTACTGAAAAAGAAAATATTTGTAAGAAAGGACTTACCAAAATATTTTAACAAAGCAAAATAGCAACAAAGGAATACTAGAATATATTTTACAAGCTATATAAAGTTTAATGAGTATGAGCTAAACACATAATAGAATTTTAGTGATTTGGTAAATCACTTTCTGCTACTAACTAGACAGTGATACAACTGAGGAGTCCTCTCCATGAAAAAGAAAATATACAACACAAGTGATATTTTTCACTCAAATGAAATGTCATTATTACTGAAATGCAACAATAAACTAACTAGACAAATTTTTAATATTTGTACCAACATAGATCTTTGCTGATAATCCATACAATATTAAACCAGTTACCCCCTAAACAGAGGTTGCAAGTGGTACCATGAAATATGCTGTCATTGGTCCATTAACTAAATTAATGCCATCAAACCATATCAAGGAGTCGAAGGCAGCAGCCAAGTGAAATTGCAAGTAACATGTCCCCACATGCAAAGCACAAGATCATAAAATCTGTCATTTAACGTAGTCTAAGTTTGTTCCACGACATGGTTTATGGAACCCACATGCAATGCACAAGTATCATAAGATCTGTCATTTAAAGCAGATTAATTTTGTTCCATGACATGGTTTATGGAATGATTAGATGATTAATAATAAGCTAACGGGTTCACTAACAATACTATTAATCCCAAAATAACTAGTATAAGATAATTTGGTAAAAAAAAGAATGAAACTCAGAACAACTAACAGAAGCTTACACTGAAAGAAGCTTATGGTGAAAACGAGGAAGGACTAGAAGGCATGGCAAGTAAAGCAGCCACTAAGAGAACTGATCTGCCCACTCCTGCGAAAGTATGAACCCTTTTTGGTAGCCTTTGCTGTGTGGATCGCTTGGTTGGCAGTCACTGCACTTCTCATCTCCTGTGCTTTCTTCTGAGCCGATCTAAGTTTGTTTAGAATTTTCACCATCGAGGAAGATCTTTTCTTTTCTAGTTTCATCTGGAATAAGTTTTTATTATTTATAAATAAGTAATTATTCCCAGAGAACAGTTCATGTCCAAAAGAAAATTAGTTAAAGGCCACAATTGTCAGCCTAACAAGGGAAATTATGCAAGTCGTGGAGCACCTCTAGTTTCCTGATCTCTGCCTCTGCTTTTGCCTTCTGCAAGTTTTCCCATGCTGTGATCTTGGCTTCTTCTCTCTTGTACCTTCCAAATATGTCACAGGGTAAGAAATTTTGGATATATCAGAACAAAAATATTGCTCTTATCCATATCATGCAAGAAAATTCAAATAAACATACATCAAATCTTTATATTTCCTGAACAGAAAATTATCATGTAAATACTACAAGAATTAATTACACATTTTTAACAGAAGACATTGCTTAAACATTAATGATTGGAGAGATTGGCTATTCTTTATATACAAAATTTCCTAAATGAACATTGCTCAAGAAAGGCCTTTGAAAGAGAATACTGTTGCAACATAGTCACTTTTAAGCAGATGGATCAGCTTAGATTGTAATTCCCAACCGAGGCATAGAGAACAATCTCCTGTAGGCACGGCAACATCCAGGTATCAGTTAGATAAGTATCAGTTCTAACCTTTTGGCATTCAGTACATGTACTTTTTCTTATAGTGTCAGTATAATATCATTTAATGCTAGGAAATGCTAGTAATATAATTTTCCCTCGAAATCTTTTGAATGCATAATATTAATTGATCCACAAAGAGTAACATAGGAAACAGATGATGTTACTTTGATATGGATTTTGTCGTCTCAGCAATTTCCCAAGCAGATGTATTTGCCTCCACAGTCTTCTTCTTCCATTCTATGATGCTCGCTGAACACCTACCAGAGCCCCGTGCTATGTGTTTCTTGGACCATCTGGTTACAGTAACCCGATCATCTACCTGCACATCCCTAACCTCAAGCTTTGAAAAGTGGCTCTCTAGCTCTTCAATGCAAGGGACCAAATCCGGAGAGGGGGAAGATGGCCCCTGCTTAGGAGAAGATGGTGTACTTCCCTCTGGACTCATTTGTGTTGCCATATCCTTCCTCAAAA